GGACAGGATTCTGATTTGTAATGATCTTTGTGACCATCACATTTCTCATCTGATAGTCACAGCAAGGGGAAATGTTTTAAAAACTTCCAAATAAAGTCACAGTCCACCAAAGTTATGGAAGTGCAATTTAAATATTGACAGAAAGAGACTACATAAAGGAATGGAGGAGGATAACCCCCCTCACTTTTCTATCAAGTTTTATTTACCTACCTCTATTTCCCCTGAATTGCTCCCAGTTCACATCTAGTGTGAAATGAAATAATAGATGCTAACCCTATGTACTATGAAAATGAATAAATAGTTGCTCTGTATCCCAGAAATATTTGTATTCTTAGTTTAACACTGATTAGTTGGGGGCATTCTGAAACTTGACTCATCCGGCAGTATTGAAATCCAACATGAGAAGTGTGAATCCTTTGGGAACAAAAGATAGTTTCAGTGTTACAAACTAGCTGTATTAGTGCCATTGTAAATACCAACACAGCTCTCTAATATATTACATTGCAGCTGTGAACATCATTTCCTCGATAGCGTTATGACTACTCAAATAGATTTTCACATTCTTCTTTTTTCTTGGTATCAATCCAGACAAAATGTTGAAGAACAGGGAAAGGCCAACTGAAACAGCTTAGAGAAATAGTGAAAACACAATAAATGAAACTTTTTAGGCTGATACTCTGCTTACTAAAATAAAAAAATTAAAGCTGAAATTGCCTATAAAAGGCACAAATAGGGACCCTCCTCAAATATGTTCCTTGAAGTGCCATCAGTCTTTACATACAACTTCAGAAATGTGCCTGTCACATCTCCATTGCCAAAGATATGGGAGGTGACTGGTTGCTGAAGTGATTGCATTTCATATAATGTTTTGAACCTTCTCTAGCTCAATCTTTGGTAGAGATCCTCACTCACAAAGAACACCCTACCTGGCTTGGCCAATTTATAACTTCAGGTTACCTCTGCTTATATAAAATCAGCAATATATGGACGGCATACATGGTACCATTTCCCAGCTATGGGTGGTTTGTGAGCACCTGTAATGATGAGAGAAATAATCCCCATGCGCCACAACTATTACACATGCAGCACATAACTAAAGCTATGGAACTCATTCCCAGAGGAGCCAGTGATGGCCACCAGCTTGGATGGCTGCAAAAGAGGATTAGAAATGGAGGATAAGGCTATATATGGCTACTATCCACAATGCCAGTTGGAGGCGGCAATGCTTCTGAATATCAGTCGCTGGAAAGCAGTGAAAGACAGAGTGGTCTTGTGCTCCCATCCTATTGCAAGTTTCCTGCAGGTATCTGGTTGCCACTGTTTGAGAACAGAATGCTGGACTCAGTATGCCACTAGCCTGATCCAGCTCTTCTTACATTTGTTGGACAACTCCTGGTTTTTTCCTAGATTGTCATCGGTGTGGTTGCTGCAGTTTTATGCCTCAATAGAGACAAATCATGAGTTTTTAGAATTGAGATTCTAGCTAGCATGACTGGCAGCAGAGAACTTCACATAATTAACTATTCTCCTTATTATTATTATTATTAAAGATTATTCTCCTTTTTTTCTCGCACTGGTTTGTACAGGACAAACGTTGGCCTAAAGAAGCTCAGCTTCTTCTCTGCAGAAGCCTCCTCCACCGTTTCTTACTCCTCTTCCAGTAAATCCAACTGAAGTCTAGAGCAGTGTTTCCCAACCTTTTTTGGGCAAAGGCACACTTGTTTCATGAAAAAAATCTCGAGGCACACCCACCATGCCAGAATGGGGAAAGGTCACTTTTACTTATGTAAAAAAAAAATAAAAAAAATAGTAAACAGCATAGAAGGTAATGGTTATCTCTTTGATGTCTGATGGGAGGGCATTCCACAGGGCGGGCGCCACTACCGAGAAGGCCCTTCTGCCTGGTTCCCTGTAACCTCACTTTTCACAGTGAGGGAATTGCCAGAAGGCCCTTGGCACTGGGATCTCAGTGTCTGGGCTGAACGATGTGGCGGAGACGCTACTTAGGTATACTGGACCGAAACCGCTTAGGGCTTTTAAAGGTCAGCACCAACACTTTGAATTGTGCTCGGAAAGGTACTGGGAGCCAATGTAGGTCTTTTCAAAGACTGTCGTTTACGTGATCTCGTCAGCAGGTAACATGCCTCTCACAGCTTATGGACTGGCACCATGTAACAGGTGTCTGGCCCAGCAAGCCTAAGGCGGACAAGCCACTGAAAACAGGCATTCAGAATCCATTCATTTCATGAAACCTGCAGGGCTCAATCTCTGTGTTGTGTATGTGTGTGTTTTCTGTTTTGCCCAAGGGTCTGGGGGTGGGAGAGAGCTCTTTAGCATGATGCTTTTAAAACAATTAAATTATCAACAAACAAACCTGATGATACGAATAGCAACGTCAGGTGCTACCGGGGGGGGGAGAAGGGGGCCTACTCGGAAGTAAATACTGCGTCCAGGCGCAATTAGCGCTGATTTAAGGTGCACCAAGACTGCCTAAAAACCTCACCAAAGATATGCAACAAAGCGCTTCGTTGGCAGAGGGGAGAGTTTGTGCACCGTGGAGGCTGGAGGGCTTCTATTCTACATGCGGGGGTTGGGGGCGAGGAAAATGTGCTCTGTGGGGGGGCGGGGAAGGCAAGAAAAGGAGCTGAGATCTAACGCTTGAGCAGGCCCGACTCGCTCCCACGCTTGAGCAAGGCCCGACTCGTGGGGCCGGACCACCCTCTCTCCTGGAGGAGGAGGAGGAAGAGGAGGAGGAGATTCCCATCCACGGCGTGGCCTCCCGCGCTCCCTGAACGGGAAATCTCTGCAGCCCAAGACTCTCCGCGAGGCAGCTCCTCCCTTCCTGCCTTGAGCCACCGCCAGCCGCGCCCCCCTCCCCAGTTATCTGCTGCCTGCCAAAGCCCCGCCCCTCTTCATTGTCCTCCCCTTCTGTTTATTCCCCTTCCTCCATCCCTCGCTTTTTTTCCTCTCTTTCCTTTTTTTAAAAAAATATTTTCTCTTCCCCTTCTTTTTTTCCACCCTTTCTTTTTTCTCTTTCTCCCCCCCCCTCCCCGCCCTCCTGGGTTAAAGGATTTGAGCAATGGGTCTGGAGGTGGAGCTCGTCGGAGGATTAGCCCGACTCGCCCGCCTCCCTCCCACGGCACACTAGGCAACGTCCGGCGGCACACTAGTGTGCCGCGGAACACGGTTGGGAAACACTGGGTTAGACTGAGAAGCAGTGACAGGCCCAAGTCAGCTTAATGGCCAAGTGGAGATTTGAACCCTGGTCTCTCAGGTCCGAACACAACACTCTAACCACTACAAATTCTAACCACGACACCACACTGGCTCTCTCATAAGAGGTCCTATAATCCCTTCCCACAAGAAAATACCAAAATCTGTCTCGTAACTCTGCATATGTCTATTTGATTATTTAACTTCTTTAGCGCTTAATAGATTAAAAATTTCTCTAATTGCAGTGTACAAAAAACTTGAAGCAACATCAGACAAACAAAATATTACAAAATATACAGTTACATATAAAAATGTTGCATAAATTCATATATTTCAATATGAATTCATTTTCCTTCTGGCACACCCTCTCTCTCAGCCTCTGGGTTCTCACCCAGAGCCCAAACAAACTCACAGCCCCACCTGCAAATATCAGAAGAGTCCCTGGAAACAGAAGGCAACATCACCTTCGTCTCTCACTCTAGATTTGCTTTTTTATGGGCAGGCCCCAAGGTGGAAGGTAATTCCTCAGGCTGCCCACAGCTGTGCCCAATTCAGCTGCACTCTCCCCTCCCCAATGACAGGTGCAGAGGGTTTTTTGAGTTTTCCAAAGGGGCCAAAGGATGAGGAAAGGGCCTCTCTCCACACACAGCTCTTACTTCTATGTGTATGGATCTCTAAATGTGCTATGTTGCATGACAGATTGAATAATTAAAGCACTCTTCCCAGATACGCATCTGGAAATAGTTAATCCACTCAGTTTTTGAAAGCTAGCCTTTGTATATGGGACTTTTCTTTAGGCTTGTCCAATAATTAATCTTGGAAGTTAATTTGGGGAAGATTTTGCCATTAACCAATTATGGACCATTGCTAATTCTTGAAAATAAGCTACTTTGCACAATAAAAATTGGCAGGATTTGCATCTGGAAACTGTTATTTTCTCACACATTTCCTTCATCCCTCCCAACTTATGTTGTATATTGAATCAATTCATTTATTTCATGGAGAACTTGCAAATCTTACCCAAAATCTTCCTTTTGTTCATTATTGTAACTCTTTCATCCACGTCTTTGAAGACTCAGCAGCAGCTGATATTCTGATATTTTTATGGTTTAATATTTTTGGTATATTATTCAGTGTCACCCATTGCTATAAGATTCCTTAGCAAATGTAATCTTATTTTTCAAGGGGAAAATTAGGGGCCATTTTTCAAGGGAGGGAATGTTTTATTTCCCTGAATAGTAGAACTGTTTACACAACTCCATCTAACTTCAGTGAATAGCTAAGGCCTACAAATGTTACCATCATATTCATAATAATGTGCAGTTCCAATCTCAGCAGACCAAATGAAAATCCCAATACACAGTCAATGTTTCATAAATGTCATAATGAGCATGTCAATATAAAATATAAACTGGGCCAGCAGGCCAGAGGTTCTCCATACCTAAAAGGAAGAGATGTAGAGGTCATAGGATGAAGGGAAGGTAGAAACAAGCTTCCAGCAGCTGCTCAGCTGTTATTCATTGTGGTTTCTCCATTCCTATGCTAGGCAAGGTTTGCCAACAGAGTGCCCATGAGTGCCTACTGGTACTTCCTATGGCACTTGCAAAAGGTCTCAATGAAAATATCCTCAAAAATCTACAATGCACAAGAGACTATTTGCTCTTCCTGCGCCTGTCTTCACTGTTTGGACCTTTCTGACGTTGAACATAGACTAGAAGACCTTAGAGGTCCATCTTCCAGCTATTATCTAAGGTGCCTCAAGTGTAACACACAATGACAAAAGTGATTTGATCTCTTCTATCATCTTGACAGGTCATTAAATGCAAAGCAGCCGTTGCTTGGGAAGTTAAGAAACCTCTGAGCATTGAGCAAGTGGAAGTAGCTCCTCCAAAGGCTCACGAAGTTCGCATTAAGGTAAACGAGACATAGCACGTTGATGCTACATGGACTGAAGACTCATCCTTGCAATGTTGTTCTTTGTTTATTGAAAAACACAAGATATAGTTCAAAATGTTACGGTTACATAGCATTTATGAAATCAAATTCAGGAAGTCACAGTCTACGTTAGAGAAATAGAATGCTCTTAATAAAGAGCATATAACAAGACTTACACATTTGATGATCTAATGGTGGTCTTTGATAGGCCACGAGTTTAACCAAGGTAAACAGATCCTTTATTTTGTATATACCTTTAAAGCACATTCAAAGCACATTTCCCCCCCTCAAAGAATTCTGGGCACTGTAGTTTGTTAAGGATTACTCGGAATTGTAACTCTGTGAGGGGTTAACAACAGGGTTAACAACTGGGGGGGGGATGTGTTCTGAATGTGTCTACAGCCTTAGACATTCTGTTTTCCCTTGTTTGCCACTGTTTTAGCAAATATTATCATTCCAGCTCCTAAGAAGTACACCATACATATTAAATGGGTTTAGCAAAAAAATAAAATAATGCAAGCATGCAAGATTATCTAACTGTTGGTTTCATCATTTGCTGTAGGGGAATCTAGTTCCTTCAACCCTTCTGTGAACATTTTTTATTCAAGAGCCTTGAGCAGGGATGGTGAACCTGTGACCTTCCAGATATTGTTGGACTCCAATTCCCATCATCACTGACTATTGTCCATACTGGCAGTGTCTGATGGGAGTTGGGAGTCCAACAGCATTTGGAAGGTCACACGTTTTTCATCTCTAGGCTGCAAGATGTTGTTCCACAGGTAACAGCCAGGTGCTAAACGAGTTATCATGAAATGTGTTAATATCTAACGTCCAAACAGGAAAAGAACACAATGATTTCTCCTCTCCTGAAGCACAATTTTGTTTCTGTGCAGATTCTGGCCACAGGGATCTGTCGCTCAGATGACCATGTGATCAGCGGTGCCTTTGCTATGCCTTTTCCGATTGTTCTGGGCCATGAAGCAGCTGGTGTTGTAGAGAGTGTTGGAGAGGGAGTGACTTGTGTGAAACCAGGTATGAAGGGTGGGGGTGAGGGTTTTCGCATGAGACCCTGAGGGCTACTTCTCACACGGTAACACTTGTGACCATCAGTGTCTCAGCTGAAGAAGTTGTTGCAAAATTAATATTCGCAAATCACAGTGTAAACGTTTTTGCCCTGTGCAAAAAAATAGAAGGTTGTCTTTGCACTATGCAAATTGTCCAGTTTATGATGAATATGTGGGGTTTTTTTATATATAAAAAAAGTTTTAATACAGTTCTTTGATGATATTGCAGTCCTTTTTCCCAGTGTTGTGTTACTTAAGTGGCTGCTGAGTTGTGCTTTCCTACATTGTTATGGGGTCTCATGTAAAAGTTTTAACTATTTGTGTATTTTCCTCCACAGGAGACAAAGTAATCCCCCTCTTTGTTCCACAATGTGGAAAATGCACTTCATGCCGAAGTACCAAAGGGAACCTCTGTTCTGAACATGAGTGAGCTTCAGTTGTTTATTATTATCATTATTATTATTATTATTATTATTACACAGTTTTTCTGACATAATTTAATGGCTGTTGTTTAAATTAAAACAAAGGGAAAGAGGCAGGTACACAAGGCAGTGTTCCATCTCCTTATATTAATCAGAGAAGTTCACTTTTAAAAAGGAACTACTTTTTAAAAATTAATTGTGTTTATACCCCACCTTCCCTCCACGGAGCCCAAGATGGTGTACATGGTGTACTCCTTTCTCATTTAATCCCCACAACAACCCTGTGAGGTAGGTTAGGCTGAGACACAGGGTTTGCCCCAAGGTCACCCAGTGGGCTTTGTGGCTGAGTGGGGATTTGACCCTGGTTTCTCCCAGGTTATAGGCAAAACTCTAACCACTACACCACACTGCCTCTCATCTAATTCATCTTTGGTTCACTCTGTGTAGTTCAGAGATTTTTGAGTCAATTCAGTGAACTTCGTTAAACTAAACTAGTTCATTCCAAGCACTGGTACTGATTCACTTTGTTCTTCACCTGCTTCCATTGGGCACTGTAGCCAGTATTTGGCACTGCCTCTGATAGAAGCTTCCCTCCTGATACAATAACGATTTAGAGGAGGATTTTCCTCAAGGCTGCTGCAGAGAAGGAAAGGGTTAACCCGAACTACAATAACTGTAATATATACACAACCAGGTGGTGCTATTTGCATTTTAAGATGCACATTAAGGTCACGTCTATTTTTTCCCCCATTTCTGCCTGTCTCTTTTCAACAGCCTCAGTGAGGCTCGTGGATTAATGCTTGATGGCACCAGCAGGTTCACCTGCAAAGGGAAAAGCCTTCATAATTTCATCAGCACCAGCACCTTCACGGAATACACTGTGGTACACGAAAATGCAGTGGTGAAAATTGATGCTGCTGCTCCTTTGGAAAAAGTGTGTCTGATCGGCTGCGGGTTTTCCACCGGCTATGGTGCAGCAGTTCAAACAGCCAAGGTGAGTTCTACTAGACCACAAGTATATCCTCTGCTTAGCTCAGTGCTTCTCAAAAGGAGTGGCATGCCACATTGGTGTGGCAGGAGAGGATGGCAAGGGCGGTGGGAAGATTCAAGGACAATCAAAGAAACATTTAAGCAGTATAGTATAGTATAGTATAGTATAGTATAGTATAGTATAGTATAGTATAGTATGCAGCAGCTAGACTGGTGACTGGGGTGGCCGCCAAGACCACATAACACCGGTCTTGAAAGACCTACATTGGCTCCCAGTACATTTCCGAGCACAATTCAAAGTGTTGGTGTTGACCTTTAAAGCCTTAAATGGCCTCGGTCCAGTATACCTGAAGGAGCATTTCCACCCCCATCGTTCTGCCCGGATGCTGAGGTCCAGCGCCAAGGTCCTTCTGGCGGTTCCCTCACTGCGAGAAGCAAAGCTACAGGGAACCAGGCAGAGGGCCTTCTCGGTAGTGGCACCCGCCCTGTGGAACGCCCTCCCATCAGATGTCAAAGAGATAAACAACTACCTGACATTTAGAAGACATCTGAAGGCAGACCTGTTCAGGGAAGTTTTTAATGTGTGACATTTTAATGTATTTTTAATCTTTGTTGGAAGCAGCCCAGAGTGGCTGGGGAGACCCAGCCAAATGGGTGGGGTACAAATAAATAATAATAATAATAATAATAATATAGTATCAAAATATTGGGGGGATATACAAACAGAAGCAGTATCCACACCTCTCTTCAAAGAGCATTGGCTATTCTTCTACACAGCATATTGTTCTCCACAGCATATTGGTGTGAACAGGGATTTTTCAACTCGAACAAATATGAATGATCAGAAAAGCGAAAGGCTTCATTGTGTAGATGAGGAGACATGAGTTTGTTTGTCTCAAATTAGACCTAATATAAATGAAATTACCTAGCCAAAGCAAGCTCATGCCTCTCATTGACTTTGTTTACATATTTTGTGTACATATGTAAGAGGCTCATTTAGAATTATAGCCTGGGAATGATTCATGTTCTTATGTAGCTGCATTGCTTTATACTTTCTGGATGTCCCATGATCATCTTATAATGTAGTTGTGTTCTATGTTATAAATCAAGCACTGCTTGGAGTTATTTCTTTTTGTTTTCCAGTGCATTTATTATCAATTTAAAAAAAAATTGGTGTGGCATGAGAAAATTTTTATTCTGAAAGTGTGGCGTGGAGAAAAAAGTTTGAGAAAGCCTCTCCTCCTCATGGAGGGGAGGTGTTGTGGGCGGGATGCAATTTCTGCGTCATGCAGGGGGCGTTATGCCCCTTCCCCACTCACCTGGCTGGTGCACAATGCCCACAGGTAAGCGCCTAACCGGGCGGCTTGGAGGGGGCGTGGTGTGCGGTTTAAGATACCGCCGCGCCAGCCATTCCGCCTCACTTTTCACCTTCTCGTCGTTATTTGTGTTTTCACTGACAGATTGGTCTGCTCAGTTCTGCCATTTATCTACTGTTTGTATATGAGTCAGGATGCATTTGTCTTGTCTCATCCCTTGTTCCCCTGTTCATTTCATCCTGAGATGAAAAATAATGTAAAGTAGCTGAGCATCATTAGCATTCCATACAATGTGTCCTTTGTTGTCCCATCTCAGCACAGCAGTGTCTTGCCTACTTAGCTGTCACAGCAAAGAGACAGAGCACATGCTGCTGTCACCATAGGTATGGCATGCTGTCCCCTTGGACCATTATCTCCAACAGTCTTGAGAAGCTGTTTTGTACTGAGCCAAAACAGGTGTTCTACAATCAAGGTATAGAACCCTCTGATGTGTTCTAGGTATCGTGTAAACCTGGATTTCAGGAACCAAAGTCTGTGAATTAAGATTTCAAGGGATGGATAGCTCTGAGACCAATCCAGAATACATAACACACAAAGGATAGCTCCATATATTCCACTTTCTGTACCACATATTAAAAAGGTAAAGGTACCGCTGCCCGTACGGGCCAGTCTTGACAGACTCTAGGGTTGTGCGCTCATCTCACTCTAGAGGCCGGGAGCCAGCGCTGTCTACAGACACTTCCGGGTCACGTGGCCAGCGTGACAAAGCTGCTCTGGCGAGCCAGAGCCGCACACGGAAACGCCGTTTACCTTCCCGCTAGTAAGCGGTCCCTATTTATCTACTTGCACCCGGGGGTGCTTTCGAACTGCTAGGTTGGCAGGCGCTGGGACTGAGCAATGGGAACGCACCCCGCCGCGGGGATTCGAACCGCCGACCTTTCGATCGGCAAGTACCACATATTAGAAGGACCATATTTCAGAGGGTACAACTCCTTAAATGCCCCTTATTTCTGAAATTCTAAGCTGGTCCCTACTGGAAGGGACCAAAAAGCCAGGTGAATTAGCAGAGCAGGATGGAAACAGCTCCCTGTCCACCTATTGCCCAAACCCTGTTTTGAGAAGTTAAAATACTACATATTTTTTCCACACCAGTAAAATTGTCTTCTGAACTAAAGTTGGGAAAGTATGCTACACTGAGATATACTAGGACTACCGAGCTGTGCAACCATTTTTTTGATCTTATGGTTTCCTAGGTGGAGCCTGGTTCAACCTGTGCTGTTTTTGGTCTGGGAGGAGTTGGTCTCTCAGCCGTCATGGGCTGCAAAGCAGCTGGAGCTTCCCAAATCATCGGGGTCGACATCAACAAGGATAAATTTCCCAAGGCTAAAGAGATGGGAGCCACGGAGTGCGTCAACCCTCTGGATTTCAAGAAGCCCATCAATGAAGTGCTGTTTGACTTGACTGATGGTGAAGGTGTAGACTACTCGTTTGAAGTGATTGGGCGTGTTGACACCATGGTATGTAACTTCAGAAACTGAACTGCCAACTAGTGCCAATAAGGCAGAATTAAAATCGCCAACCTGGGGATAGATCAGTACAGTCAGGAGTATTGATTGAGAAAGTCCTGGGTGAACAATATGTGGCAAAATATAAAGTTGGTTGTGGTGCATGACTGATGTCTGAGGGTAGGCTGTGCCACATGAAAAGGAATGGAGGGATGGAGGAGAAATTTGATTCAGTATGCATCTAAAGCTGAATGTCTCAGATTATGCAAACAGAAACACAGCTCTCCTTCAAATTTGCACTTCTCTGAATTTTGCAGTGCAGTTTTCCAACCAATGTTTAGAAAAATGCATGTATTAGGGAAAAGTGTGCATAAAAATGAAGATATTGGGAAATAGCATATAAATATGCATTATATTAGGGGAAATGGCTTGCAAAAATTGATCAAAACTGTATATAAATCTGTTTTATTAGGAGAAATTAGCAGCAAAATGCCAGTGGATTTGCATAAGGATTTTAAAAATGAAATAAACCATAAATTGCTGCAAATGTAGAAAAGTGTGGAAAAAAACGAGAAACTGGCAGATACTTCCATACCAAGATATTACTGTAAATTCCCTCTTCCAGGTGATTCAAATCCCTAGTCTGACATTACACTTGCAGTTACCTATCACATCTCTCTCTCTCTGAGCTGAGCTGAGCTGAGAACAGTATTCCAAAATTCTGGGAGACACAATATCCAAAGGACAATTACATTATGATTCACACGGTAGTCTTGGAGATTGCAGATCTGGTCAAAATACATCAGAATTCTTAGTCATCAAATCTTTCGAAGCATCCCTATCTACAAGATTCAAAGAGTACATTTTTCAAGGGAAAGAGAAGAAAAACTATAATGAAAGCTTTAAAATTCAGATGCTTTGGGTTTTTTAACCATTGTCCCATTTCACTATTTAGGTCAGGGGAGAGCTTTTATTTTGTCATCACCACATTTTGTAAGTGAAACAAATAATGAAATGCCATGTCTTTGTGTCTTACCTCAGACGGCTGCCCTGGCATCGTGCCACAGCAACTATGGGACCAGTGTAATTGTGGGAGTGCCTCCTTCCACCTCTACAATTGCTGTTGACCCGATGTTGCTTTTCACAGGACGTACCTGGAAAGGATCTGTTTTTGGAGGTATGATTGTGGGCTCCCCCCCCCCAAAAAAAGCATATTAATTCCATGTATGCAGGTTAAAATTTTGGATAGTTTCATGTCCACAAAAAAGGGATAATTTTGGACATGGCGGTGAGTTCTGAGTGTGCTTTGGGACAGTTAATGCAGAAATGTACAAACTGTACCTCCAAACCCAGGAACAGCACACAACTGAATCCTGTAGTCAGCTGCCAATGACAAGAGTTCCATTGGCATACTTGATAGCTCCCCACTTTCAGTACTAATTCAAGCTTCTCTTGGAGGTTCTTAGAGTTGGGGAGGAGGGTGGGGTGAGAAACAGTGAACTGCTGGACCCAGGAACAGGCTGTCCAGTTCAAGTGGGAGCCTGAACGGTCGCAGGGGAAGCAGTCTAAAGTCCAAGCCAAGCAAGAGAGCATTCAGCACTTTGGACAGCTCCAAGACAGCTGCAAGAGAAGTTGTCCCTGCAGTGAGCTAGAGTCAGATGAAGCCTCATGAACAAAGCTGGACTGTAGGGGGCTCCACTTCCGGGAGAAGCTGGCCGGCTAGTTATTTTGTATTATTTGGCTTATTCAAGACTGATGAGACAGAGGTAAAACAAGGAACTTATCCTGAGTCAGAGGATGCCGACAGGCAGTAGTGGGATGGAGGCTCTTAGTCTTACCTGATGTCTGGCAGGTGAGTCATTGCTTCTTACCAAGAAGGGGAAGTGGCAATGAGGTCAGCATGGTTTAAATGCACTAGTGTACCTAAACCAATGCACTTACCAGTGCCTTTGCACTGCTCTGCCTCTCTTCTGGTTTGCCCCTTCCCCTCCTGGTAAGCAGCAGCAACGCACCTACCAAGAGATTGGGTAAATGTATCTGTGCCACCATGCCATCTGCTACTGGCAGCATGGCTGGGGCCGCAACAGTCCTGGATAAGGGCTCTAGTGGCTCTTTCTCAAGGAAGCAGGAGTCCTTTGCAGTAAAACCTCAGGGAAATAGTTTCACAATTTGTATTGCTCTTATTTCCATGTTGCATTTTGCCTGATCTTTCCCTTTTGTGGTTTTCAGGGTGGAAGAGCAAAAGACTCTGTCCCAGACTGGTTTCTGATTTCCTGGGGAAGAAATTCATCTTGGATCCATTAATAACCCATACACTACCATTTGAAAAAATCAATGAAGGATTTTGAATTGCTCCGGGCAGGAAAGAGGTGATTCTTTTGTCTTCTTTCTTAGCTGTACTTTTAAATACCTTCTCCTTGACTATGGGATACAGTTTGTGGGGCTACCTGCAGATTTCCAATCAGGCAAGACTAACTGGGCGAAAGGAAGCTTCCATGTCAGTTGCTGCCTCCACACAGGTGATGGGTTTGGGATGATGTCTGTAAGATCCATAGCAGAACATCCAATTTGCATGTGTAGGTTCAGTTTACAATCTTTCAGAAAAGGATCAGGTGGCATAGCAGGGAAAAGCAGGGGAAAGCCCCCTGTCTGGGGCTCTGGAACAGCACTGTCACTAGTCAGAGAAAAAGCTACTGGCCAAAATGATTATTTTTATTATTTATATAAAGGCAAACCCCCCCCCATTTACCTGGGGGTTGTGTTCTGAGACACCATGCGGATCAGTGAAATTGCTTATATTTGAAACACCATTGGAAAAGCCTGCAAACATCCATTTCTGACATTTTTGTGATGTTTTTGTGTCACTTTCTGGGTTTGGCACAATGCACATGTGCACATGTGCACAGTTGCACACATATTGAATGGGGGGTTGCCTGTATTGATATCGCTTACTTGACGAAATGGCTTCTAAGGGGTTTACAAACCAATTATAGAATATCTCTTTACGCCTAATTAAAATGCACAATAAAATAAATGCATTAAAATAGTTTATCAATTAAGCAGCACTGAAATTATTAGATCCGGAGCTTCAGGTCTGGAGATCAGGAGAAGGTTTGTCTAAAGAGATGCATCTTCACGAGGCAGCAAAATGCCAATACCTATGGGGTGTCTCGTATTTCAGCAGGCAGAGCATTCCACAACACTGGTTCTACCAGTGAAGAAGCCTGCCTCTGTGTTACTACAAGATGATTATCATCAGGTCATAGCCAAACTAAACCAGGTTCCGATGGATGGACAAACAGTCTCACCTGTGACAAGGCAGCTGCTTCTGCTTATGTGACACCTGGAAGTGCTCGCTGTCATTGCTGTCACCACCACCTATCTGCTCCTACGGCCACCTGCTATGGCCCACTGCCCTGTGCCCCATTGCATCCACTGCTGGGCCAAGAAGGCACTGTCACCGCCTGGTGCCAATCTTCAGGCAAGATTCTCACCCAAATGGGCGCTTGCTTGCCTCAAATCCGGTTCTGCTTTCTCTGCCACTGGTGGAGGTGGTGGGGCAGGCGGGGAACCCATGGGTATGCTCTTGGGGGCTTTTGCTGCCTGAGGCAGTGGCCCTCGCACTACCTTAATGGCTGGGCCCTTCTGATTGCATGTGGACCACTACCATGTGCACAAGACAAACATCCTTGACTCTTCTCTCTCCCATGAGAAGAGTCCTGTTGGATCAGGTCAAAGGCTCATCAGCAGATTGTTCTCATAGTGACCAATCAGATGTATATGGGAAACCATATTGGCAAAACCTATTGGAGTTTCGCAACTTTCTGACTAGTTGCAGGACCTTAGCCAGACCTAGCAGAGTACACGCAGAATCCACAGAAGCAATTGGCGACTTGGCCCCAGACAGGATAGACGAAGCAGGAACCAGGAACTTGTAGTTAGGTATTTATTTATACAGTGGACTATTTACAGGAACAGAACACGGATCTTATGCTAGCTCTCTCTGGCACGACTCACAACTCCTACACTTACACAGAACTCTGAACTCAACCACTGAACACACGTATTCCAGTTAGTAGGCCATTAATTATCACTCCCTTGAGAGAGCTTGACCAATCAGGGAGCCTCTGTTATCACCAGGCGGACTTACTCCTTCAGATTGCCTTCTGGCTGTCTGCCAAACCTAATTGACTCTGTGTGAGTAGCTGCACGTACACAGTTTTCCAACAGTAAGCAGTATTTGAAGGCATACGGCCACCAGCAGTGGGAGGCAGAACATACACATCATAGCTAGTAGTCACTGATATCCTGCAAAGGCAGGTTGGAAAAGTACAGGAGACAGTATTATCTTAATGCTGCCAACATTTCAGGTGTACCACAATTCCCCCCTGTTATGTACTGGAAGTTCTCGACCCTGGCCAGCAGGGATACATTAGTAAGTTATGCAAATGAAGAATCGAAAGCTGACGCTCAGTGTTGGATAGTTTTAGAAAGTTGCTACAGTAACGTTGTAACTGAGCTCTATAATAAGCCAGGCTGCCTGAGCCCTTCAGTTCAGTTCCAGGTTCTGTTCTCTGAATAAAACAAGAGCTGTTTGAAGAATCAGCTGTGTGTCTGCTATTTTCACCCACAACTTTAACACCCCCCATATGTCAATTAAATGTTTTCCAATCCTCTCTAAAGCGTATGTTCTTCTATTCTCTTATTCTATGATTTTAAAGTCCTGCAGCTGCGCATATTCTGGTCCAGTTTAAGTTGCCATTCTTTCATAGACGTTGCTCGTTTTTCCATTTGTTTGGCTACGCCACACAGGCCCCAGTTGTAGCATACATAAATAACCTTTTTGACACCTGGGAATTCAGTCTGAATTATCCCCAACCCAAAGACTCTGGTTTTGGGGTAAAGTACTTTTAAACATTTTTTTCTAGTTCATTGGTGGATTATTCCCATTACTCTTTTTACCCTTTTACAAGTCGCACCCATGTGAAAGAACGTTCCCTCAACCTCTTTGCATTTCCAGCATTTATCTGATTCAGTCTTATTACATCTTCAGCACTGCTTTTTGGTTTTCCCACAGACATCCGGTTGCCACTTGTGAGATGAGGATGCTGGATTAGATAGCCATTGGCTCAATCCATGCAGGCCATCTCTATGTTCTTAATATTGCCTCTCATATCATCTATAATAAAACTCATTTTTTAAAAAATGTTATTCTTTTGTAAACAGCAAAGTCATTTAAAATAAATTTACGACTGTGTCTCACCACAACTGTCTCCCAACTGAGGAGAACTAATATCTGAATTGATTTTGCATATTGTATTAATATGTGTTTCCTAGGACGGCACCATGAGATCTATTCATTACATATCTCT